ATGTACAGAATATATCATGAATGAATGAAAGGACAAAGATAAATGTCACTTTTGTTGTTGTTGAATTTATACAAAGGACCATATTAATAGACAAGAATATATTGAACTATTGTCAAGCAATAGTTGGGCATTTTCGCCCAGAGTTTAATCAGTCAGTATTCATAATCTGACAGCTGATATCTTGTTGCAACATAAATCATGTTCAAACCCTGGTCAGTAGCATAGTATAGGAATTTACTTGTAAATTGATAAAAGGCATTGAGCCTTTGACTGATTGACTGACTGGTTTCAATGTAGAACTCTGCACAGATGTGCACCAGTTCGAGTTGTCACACTCTCTCTATGTAACACACAAAGCAAGAGAAGAGAGTAAAGAGAGATTCAAAGGAGAGAGGGAGAGAGATAAAATAAACAGAAATATGAGGCGAAAAGAATAGTGATATGAAAGAACAAAGGGACTTTATTGAATGCATCTGCGCCAGCTATTGAGAACGATTTTGATCATCCCGAGGACCCCAACCAAGAAGTCTACACTCCCCTTACGTGGCCGGCTGGCTTAAACTAACTGTTGTGGATTTCACTGACTGATGAAGCCATGTTTTGGTTTGACCACGCTAAGCTTTATAATATATTTATCGTCAACAGAAAGTCAAGAAATACATTTATACTTTATCAATAAAAATAACAATGGAGGATTTACATTATAGGTTACTACGTTAAGAACCAGCACCAGCAATAGAAGCATTAAAAAGTAGGGAGCATATGACGGCACTATTTTGCCCTACCTTGGAATTCTACCAGTAAGTGACCATCACCTCACAACCGACTAAACCTAAGATTTAGAGATTGTGAGGTGAGCAGTTTACCACTCCAGTCACTTGGTTTTCGCGACATCTACACTGAAACTAGTTAAAATCCCTACACACACATACATAATCTGAATTATAGAATCCAGTAATAACACTAATTGGCGGTAATGACAATTAATACCATCTGTTAATAACAATAACGAGAAGTGCTAACTATTTACAAGTGCTGAATAGATAATAACGTTTCCTTAAGGCAAATTCATTTAGTTGTTGAGGTATTTACTGAAGAAAAAAAACATATTTCTTAGCTGTCACACAAACTAATGTGACACTTACTTAGTCATGACAACATTCCTTTGGGTTCCGAGTGGAACATAGGATTTCAACATTTACTTAGTATAACAGTTAATTATCCACAATAAAAAGTCGACACGCCTAAAGAATACACCGGTGGAAATAATAAAAAATATGCTATCCAATTGTCTGTCTTTCAGTCTGGATTCAACATAGAACTTGGCACCGAAGTGCAGCAGTTCGAGTTGCCACGTTCCAAATACCACACAAAGGTAGACAAGAAGATGGATGAGTGAAGAGAATCAATAGAGTTTTGACAAGTATAAGAGAGAAACAGAGTGATTAATGGTAGAAAGGAATATGAAAGATTACAGAGACTGAATACATCTGCGTAAGCCATTGACAACGATTTTGAGCCATGTCACCTATTGTCTCCAGCCATTGATTCTTAGAGTCCAGAAGGCCCCAACACGGAAGTCTCCATCTCCCTACCTGACTCAGTTTAACTGTCAAGGATTTCATGGATTGATGAGGCCATGTTTTTGTTTGGCCACCACTTACACTTTTCCAACCTGCACCTATATCAGCTAGTAATGCCCGTCCGTCGGGGGAGGCGATGGCTAGGCATGCGCAGCACGTGACCTAGCCATCTCAATCTATGTAACTTTATAGCCTCGTCGATTGATTTTCCCTCTTTGCCCAACACTCTACGCCTAACGTCAACATTACTTACCTTATTATACCACCTAACGTGAGAAAGAGATCGTAGACATCTATGATCAAAAACAGTCAACGTTTTCATGTCTTCAACTCGTATTGACCGTGTTTCCGAGCCATAGAGAAGGACAGAGCGAACTGCTGAGCAGTACACACGTCCCTTCGTCGACAGCCGGATGTCACGCCTACGCCAGAGACGGTGTAAGTTAGCGAAAGCAGCCCGAGCTTTTTGGATCCGTGCTGAGATTTCGTCACCAATCAATCCGTTGGTGCTGATACAACTTCCCAAATAGGTGAAGTGGTCAACATATTCTATCACTTCACTCCCTACCACTAAGCTAGGAGTTGACGTAGTCCAGTCCTGTAGCAGCATCTTACATTTCACAGGGGCGAATCGCATGCCAAACATACGAAGATTCCTGCTTAAGGTGTTCAGAAGACTCTGCATTTTGTCAGCATCCTCCCCTAACAGGACTATGTCATCTGCATATTCTAAGTCCATAAGACTATTCCCTGGTAACAAGTCGATTCCTAAGTCGTTAAGTTCAGTTAAGGATACTTCCATTAGCATATGTATGATAAAGTTAAACAGAAATGTATGTTATAACCGATCATCTCAATCACTTGTGTTCAAAATAAAGCGATCCTTAACTGAACCCGGACCATTTGCTATTCTCTACATAAATGAGTAATTAGCCCTTATTATATTAGGTGTGAATTGAACTGAATTTTCAACGTAGAAATTTACACAAAACTACAGTAACTACAACTTGGCCCACTTCATAATAGCACACATAAAAGTAGAGAGACAAAGAAAAAAATAAGTGCAAAGACACTATAATAAATGGAAATATGCGGGAGAAACAAATAAGCCTGTAGAAATTAAATGAGAATTCAATGGGTCTGGGAATTCATAAAGAGTGAATACACCTGTACCATTGCAAACTATTTTGAGCTAAAACACCAACAATCTTCTTCAACTACTGGTGTTTAGCGTTTTGAGGACCCCAAGCCAGGCAGTATGTACCCCCTTATTTATCTCAAACCAATAATCAAAGACCATAGAATGATGTCAGGTTTTGACTAAAACTACCCTCAAGTCTTTTCCAACCTAATCCTACATCAGTTAACATTGCTTGATGAAGAAGGAGATGGCTTAGCGTGTGTTACACGTGTCCTAGCGACAACAACTGATACAGTTTCCCGACTTCATCGATTGATATCCCCTCCTTATCTAATACTCTACGCCTAATCCCATTATTACTCAATATATTATACAACTTAATACGAGAGGTGGAATGCAAACACTTATGGTCAAACATAGTTAGCCTCTTCACATCTTTCAACGACTATGCCTCAAGCATAAAGAGCGACGAAGCGAACGGCTGCACAGTATAATACTTCATTTGGTTGATAATAAGATATCAAGTGTATGTCATACATTAATTGCTTTAGGCATAACAGAACATAAGAATCCTGTACTATTTGAGTTGGTCACAAGAAATAATCAATCAAAGTTAGTTAATTCAGTCAAAATTAAGCAGTTGTAAACATATATTGTCCCTCCAAAATGTATAATACAGGACTGGACTACACTGACTCCTAGTTTAGAAATAGGGAGTGAAGTGGTGGAGCACGTTGACCGCTTCACTTATTTTTGGGAAGTTGCATCAGCCAACGCCAGAGGATTGGTCGCTGACGAAATCTCAGCACGGATACGGTTTCGGATATACCAGTTTACGCAGTCTCTGGTGTAGACGTGATATCCGGCTATCAAATAAAGGGCGTGTTTACTGCTCAGCAGTCCGCTCTGTCCTTTATGACTGTGAGACCTGGCCATTGAGAGTGGAGGACATAAAAAGGCTAGCTGTCTTTGATCATAGGTGCCTGCGTTCTATAATAATAGGGTGAACAATATTGAGATATCGGTCGAGTGCTAGGTAAGGAGGGGAAGTCAATCGACGAGGCTGTGAAGCTGCATCGACCAAGATGGTTAGACATGTGTTACGCATGCCTAGTCATCGCCTTCCTCGATGGGCAATATTAGCTGACATAGGGTTAGGCTAGAAAACATGGCACCAGTCAATGAAATCCACAACAGTTAGTTTAAGCCACGTAGAAAGGTGTATACTTTCTGGTTGGGGTCCTCGGGACGGTAAAAACCAATGGCTGGACACAATCGGTGATATGGCTCACAATCGTTCTCAATAGCGCAGATGCATCCACTCCTTGTGACTTATAATACCCAATAAAACTATGTTGTTCTTCGTTATTACTATTCCTTTTGTCTCATATCCCTGTCTACTGTCTCTATTTTGCATTTCCACTACTTTCTTTTCTTGCTTTGTGTGCTACATGGAGTGTGACGACTTGAACTGCTGCACATCGGTGCAAAGTTCTATGTCGAAAACAGACAAACAGACAGACAAACATATACAGATATATGTCTTTTTGATAATTGATATGAATAGTGAGATGTTTTAGCCTGTAGTTCGATTTTTAACAGTCAACACTTACTTTCCGTAACATTTCTCTCACTGATGTACGTACTCCTCTTTCTGCAACAATAACAAACGTTATTTTCAACAACAACAAAAAAACTCCTGAAGTCTGAATTGTAAGTGAAACATAAAATATGCGTGAAATCTCTACGGTATCGTCATGGGAACGAGAAAGATGCGACACGATGTTATGCAAGAGCTATATACATGCAAATGTGTTATGAATATATATATATATACATACATATATATATATATATATATATCTTAAGTATGCAAACGACACAGAAACTTTAAACATATTGTGCATATTTTGATGCAGTTGTATTTTCTCAGCTGGATGGTTTATTCGAGAAGCTTTCATTCCCCTACTTACTAGGCAACATCTTCGGCGCATACTTCAACTTGAAATGGAGTCTAAAAGCTCACTTCAAACTGAAGTATGCGCCGAAGATGTTGCCTAGTAAGTAGGGGAATGAAAGCCTCACAAATAAACCATCTAGCTTATAAAACACTACTACATCAAAATCATCCACCTGAGCTATAAATCTTCTCCATTATATCTATATCATACATATTTGCTAAACACGAATGAATGAATATAACAATCTCTTAAGCATAGGAAGAACCTACACAAAACCAAAAAGAACAAATATGATTCATTATCCATTTAGCTTACTTGAGACTGTAAATGATCCCATGCTGATGTGAATTCAGGCTCAAATCCGTATAAGTTAATCAAAACCTCTTCAGTTTGTTCTTTGATAGACCAAACTAACTAAAAAAATAAAAAACAACACATACTCATTCAAAAACAAGTGACAAAATTTGATTACTCACTATCTGTAAACAAGAAGCCACTTTATGCATACGACTTCAATTCAAGGGCGATATACCAAGTGATATAATTACGAGGAAATTAAGAAAATCAGTTCAAAGAACTTTTAATGCTGGCGAACTACACGTATTATTCTCTACACGACCGATGGTGCTACCTCGACTGAAAGATGAAGTACCTAGACTAGCTAGCCACTTCAAATTGTATCTACCAATTCAACTGCTCTCCTGTGGTGGAGCGAGTTATATTGGCCGCTGTTGCACTAGGAACTTGGTTTTTCGCGCTCACTCGAGAGCATCTCCCAGTATGGCTAAGTAAAGGTGTAGTTAAAATCGCTTCTCATTGTACATAGATGTCAATAAGTGTAATGAAACTTGGTAAGTATATATATATGAAACGCACTTTATAAATACATTAGCAATGTAGCACAGTTTATTCATATTTAAATCATACCTAAAGCATTTCAAAAACTGATTATGCAAAAGCTACAGGATAACCTAGAATAATAGCGCACAAGGTCAAAGAAATTAAGTAGTATTTTCGTTGAAATGATTCTCATAATTAATCAACTGAAATGGACGTTAACAGATAAGACGATTAAGACTTCAGTCTACAAGGAAATAGGAAGTTGTCAACAAGTTGAAAAGAAATAAATGAAAAGCTCTTGAATTTGTGAAGATTTAATTTAGTTTCTGTTAGCAATAAAGTTTCAGTGCGTCGGTGGCATAGCGGTTAGGACGCTCGCCGACCACGCACATGGTCCGGGCTTCGATCCCCGGCCGACGCACTCCTTTACCTCGCTGAGCCAGAAATAATTCTGGTAAAGAGGAAAAGTTGGGCATGAGGCTAGCAACCCCATCCTGTAAACTAAACACTGCTACAGAAACTTCAAGCCAACTTGCTTGAGGCCCTATGTTCCACTGGGGAACGTGAAGGAAAAAAAAAAATAAAGTTTCGCTTTCAACACAGGTATCAAGTAATCACTAATAGCGCAGAACACTTACACTAGACTAGTTAAGCTTTTTTCACCTTGTCTAGTGCAAGAAAAGTGTTTTGATAGGTTGAAATGTAGTAGAAAGATTGTTTATCACATAATTCAAAGTGTGGTCCAATACAGTACACAGAGGAACATGTTTACTGTTGTTATTGTTGTAAAATATGTAATAAAAACAACCATTTGGTAATTAAATATTTATGATTAGATAACAACGTTAAGGTACTAACTACTATTACGTTACCCCGTACCTCATACTTTAATTACTACAGATTATGAGTAGGTGGATGAGAAAACCTAGTGGTGCATTATAACATTAAAAGATTGAGAGAACTAAAACATCAGGATTCTAAACATGTATGTACTCTTATTTCATACGATAGGCATACAATGAGTGTTCAAACTATGGAAACTTTTTACCACTGTATTCCACCTGAAAAATTTCCTATTGTCACATAGATTTTAGACTTGTTTCTTGACCGAATGAGAGGTTAACATCCATTGGAAGTAAAAACGAACCCTACACATCTGTTGATGTCATTGACTGTCGGCTGCATTGTGAACTGAAAGAAATGACAATTATATGAACTTTTTCTAGAGTTGATGATTTGTAGGGGAATTTGATTTGTTGACGACGGATTGATATCAGTTAGAGAACCACTGAAAACCGGTGAGTACTGAACAGCTGTTCCGTCCTGGTTCGGGACTCATCGGCAGCATGCATCCACCGGGTTTCGAACCCAGGACCTTTCAGTTGTAAGGCGAGCTCGAGACCATTCAGCCCCTGGGATCCTGTCGGGAGCAAGAACAAATGCTTCCCGATGACATTGGCTGGTGGTCAGGCTAAAATTACGAACTGCTAGATGTTAGAATTCGTGAGCCATTGAATCGGGTACCAGTGGTTGAATGGTATGCCAGCTTGCCATGAAACCGGGTGCATGCTGACGACGAGTCCTAAACTAAGATGAAACAAATCCTCCAGTACTCCTTGGTTCTCTAACAGATATCAATCATATGAACATAAATTACTTAATCATAACCACAAAACTGGGGCTAGTAACTAAATAAGGAATAGTTTTGGTTATTCAGTTTTATTCTACTACATCCCAGATATCTCGGGGGATGATCATGAATTTTGAAGCCTTGATTTTAACGAAACTATGTTTTAGTTCATTGATGGTATGCTATTATTTGATGATCTGTTGATAGTTTTGAAGGAACTGCTTCTCTGTTTTATGTACCCAATGAAATGACGATATACTATGTAGAAAAAATTATAGTTACTAAAATTTTTCAAGATGAGTGGGACAGTGAATAATGCATATATTCTTTTATAAAAAAAGTGTAATTGTACAGTGTCGGAAAAATGACACAGATGAACGTAACAATACATTCATTGTAATTTCTATACAATCCGATAAAAATGCTATACCTGGAGTTAAAGACAATATTTCGACTATAAAGAATACAACAACAAGTGAATATCACTACTTAAAAGTAATCAATATTTGTCATTAGAATATAGCATAATTCAACTTACCTTAGTTCGAATTGTCTTCAAATGATATAAGCAATAAACATGTGGAACTGCCATTATAAACAGAAAAACTAAATACTAGACACGATTATTAAATATTTGTTAATGTATACCTCACCAATGCAATTGCTTTTTTCAATTTAGTTTCAGTGAAACGCCATGGTCTTGTAGACTTAAACAGCAAGTGAATAATGAAAGATTGACATATAAGCGAGAAAAGTAGCAGTATTCCGATAACCACAAATAAAATGCCGCCTTCAAAGTAATACCGTCTGCCAATTATCTCTGACTCAACTTCAGTGTTTACAAGAAGCCAAATCCCAGCAGATATAAAAACAAATGCGAGAAGCTTTAAAGTGGATTAACCAACAATAATCACAGAGATCACTAGTTACCGCGAATACAACAGCAAGAAATGACGACCATTGTTTCAATTGTAAACGACTGATACGAAACGGCCGATAACTGCGTTTTTCCAACATGCCTATAGGGAACGTGAATAAAAGAAAATTATATTTAGACTTAATTTCTGAGAAAGATATAAAGAAATACACTAACTGGTCATAGTTGGATGACTAATAACTATGCTTTCCAATCGTTGTACTGACTGTACTTATTTTTGGTCAAGTTTGCAATGTGGTTAGAAAGCCTGAAGACTCACCAGCACAGTGCAATTTTGATAAATTACAAATGATTGAACATAATCATGAGAAAATCCTGAACTTCCGAATTTCCTCAAGCTTTTCAGAAAAGTATATTTTTAAGCACCGGGGAACTTAAATTTGCATGGAGGATTTCATCATGAGCTGACATCAAACAAAATCCCTACAAAACCACCACTCGAACTTAAATTTCTCTAACGATTCTGAACCGCGTTGCTAAGCATGGACAAAAAAATGTTACTAGACTGCAATGTGGTCCTTCCATTATGAGAATTTTCCTCATAATTACACAAGGTAAACATTCATTATATGACGCTTAGGGAACAGGCCTTAAGAAATTACCTACAGTTATATTTTAATTCTGATTTATGAAAAGCATATCAGTTGTGACGACTCAAAAACATGCATTTTCTCTCAATCCTACATCCGATGCTTTGATTGAGTTAGCAGGAACACTCTGACGAAAACTCAGCGTCAGGTAAGGGCCAAACGAGAAGCCGTATTACAGCAACAATGAAATTTCACAGCAAATTTGGATAACTAGCTCTAATTATTTATTTTTATTTTTTGATTACAGCTTGATGCCACACCGTATTTTTGGTACAAGTATGGAATTTTCAGCATGGATATCGGTAGCCCAAATTTTGCAGGCCGACCATAGATATCGGGTGTGGTCGGCGGGGGATCGAACCCCGGACCATGTGCATGGTCGGCGAGAGTCCTAACCACTGTGCCACCGACGCACTTGTTTATTTAGAACATATATGAGATGACATGACCACTGGGAGTTATGTTATACAAAATTAACAACAGTATGAGAAAAAGATAAACATAATAGTTAGGCAATAACGGGATCAAACAGGTTTATATACTTATCAGTTGCATCCAAAAGAAATGTTCTGTACTTAATTTCACTCCTTCAATTAGAATGAAATAAGAAAACTAAGGCATGTCGGTTAATGACGTCTATTCTGAGCTCTAAATTATTACGTTTCAGGTCACTGAGTGTTTCAAATGCCTACCAGGAAGTTGTGACTGATCAAAAGAAGCTAAGGCAACACGATTACATAACATTTAATAGCGTCATATCATAGGCTGACAACCCCTCTGATTTTTCCAACTATTTCTAAAACTAGCATAAAGTGGACGATGTGAATTTTACTGGGATAAAATTTGCAATAAGTGTCTAAATCACTGAGGCCCATGCAACAAAAAAGCATCATCCAATAAAAGTTAGTCTCCATCTTGATCAAACATACACCATCGGATATTAAGGTTGGCACCAATGGAAATAAGCGATGCTACGGGCACATCAGAGGTTAAAGACGCATAGTCGCACCACATACCCAGCTCGGAAAGACCAAATTCCACAAGTGCAGGTCAACTGCATGCACCGAAGCATTGTTAAACCAACCGACTTGGTGTATGCCAATCTGGCTCCTGCTGTACCTCTGGAAACTTCATCCAACATACCGGTAGGATTCACAAAACCAACTAGATACACAATTTTCTCAACCACTTTGATGGATCAACTGTAAATGTGAGTGCAACACATGGGGAACGCTTGGTAGCCTAAGGCAACGTTTCTTTTGACAGAGTCAGCAAAGCAACAGAAGGCCATCTAGTCCCCACTGATCACACAGACAACTCCAGATACTACACCTGTTCATATGCGTTAAAGCTAGTAATATAGCATCTATCAAAAGCGCTGGACTGAGATCATCACGTTGATAGAAGTCATAATCAGTTGTATCCCTGCTGCGAACCATTAGTTAGATTGCAGAGATACTGAAAGAAAGCTTCAACGAATTGCTCCTAGCCAAGTGGGGCATAAACGGCTATCTATGAAGATCCACACGACTAATGCAACTTCAACTCTGACGCTTAGTGAGACATCAACACCAGCTACGGTGAAAGTGGATGTCACAAGATACCTAGATAGGCCCACCAAAAACGTACTAGCTCAGCTGACATACCAGGAAGTTATGCTAAGCAGTCCTCTATAGCTAGGTATGTGTCTGAGAGGCAGCATAAACTAATGGTACCTTTCCAGTGTAGTGATAAATCTTGCATGTAACCCAATTTGCATGAATGGGAGCTCTTATTTATAGAGTCGAAGCCATACAGATAAGTTAAAATTGAACAAATTAACGAGTGACTGGTTATAATAAAGGCCACAACAAAAGTAAACATAACTGAAATGAAACTAAGCTAATTTTACATGACAATAATAACAACAACAACACAATAATAATGAATCCAATGACTTAATTAATACTTCATGAGGTAGCAGGACATAAACCGCAATATCATAGAGTTGAATTGAGCTTCCCCCAAAAAAGTGTTTAAGAAATATTTCAGGCGAAAAACCTAAAAAGACGGGTCACACGACAAACTGTGAATATACTGTTTACTGGTTTACGTACGCAATGAGCTCTCAGTATAATCTCCAGTCACCAACTTCAGTCTTGACAATCTAATTACATTGAAAGGTCAAGAGAGTTTGTATGGTTTGTAGTCCACACAGAGAGACGGGGTTAGATATATTTAAAGTCTAGCAGTATTTTCTTGGTCATACAACTGCCTTTTTTTCGTAAATCAACAGCGTACTAGACAATACTAATAAATGTTGTGAATGCATAAAGTTCGGCTATCAAACTTCCTTTTCTAGTAATTCGTAGGAATTTTTCGAATCGAGATTTAATAAGATAGTAACTTAGAGCAGACATTTAACGAGACACGAGAATAACAGAATCGTCGCATGAACGCATATATCTGCTTGCTTTCATACCATTACTGTACTAAGTGACAAGCACTGAAGAAAATCCTAAATGCACGTATACTCACAGATGCAAATATAGGCCTGAATTTAGCTCAAACAGTGTTTTGAGAAACTAGATAAGTAATGTGTTTCAGTATCTGTTTCACAAAAGACTTCTTGCTGTTACAGACACTTTTCTCAAACAGTACTTGATTCATTTGCATAAAACTATGGTAAGAAACAAAAAGTAACTAATTTACACCTTATTTTAAAGAATATGCTACTAGAAAAATGGTTAATAGAGTACAAATAAACTCTCCTAAATTTAGACATGAAGTTTTCTTAATATGTTATTGCAAAAGACATTAAGAGGAAAGGAAAGTGAAAATTTAATAAAACACTCAAGGCGATTTCTGCTCGCACCACTCTTGAACACCAAAACCACTTCGACTTAGGATGTATTTCACCGCAATTCCGGGACTTTAGGGAGTTCTGATGTGTTTCCCCAACATTTTGCATTGATATGACTACAAATTTCTCATCTGGGCTTTCAGAAAAATAAACTCAAGGCTTCCACCAGACTAATGACAAAGATTGCCAAGAATTAGTCAAACAATGGTACCTCAACTAAAAAAGGAATTTTCCGTAAATCGAAGTAAGCAGCTAGGTGTCAAGTTACTTCTAAAATTATATGTACTGCCCTGAGGATGACCAACGTCTGGACAATACCATGTTATGTTTAAGGGTGCAAATTGATAAGATTTGAAATGTTTGTTGTCGATGCCTACTCAACTGAACATGAAAAGTATCCAAACAACACTTGTTCAGCTATTAAGTCAGACTTCCATCAAAATAAAAACCATTCAACGTCTGAAATTTCCAGTCAGACATCACAATTAGAAGCATCTTTTCAATTATGATATATTAATATTTCAGATCTACTGAATACCCATGTTCCATGAAAAACGGAAAATTTATTCACTTTTTTGAAGTGTTTGGGCTTACTTTCTGAAAGTTATAAGCATCCACCACGGCAGCGCATTTCAAATTTATTCATTTAACAATCTTAACATCGCGGTAACGACCCTACACATACTTCGCGCTTGGACATTGGACGTGTCATTTTCATGGAACCTTCAAACCCTAATAATGTTAATTTTCTACATGATTTATTTTGAAGGAACTCCGTAGATTCAAACGCAATTCTCAACGCATTCTCTGTTATGCAGAAAATAATTACTCAACGATAGAATTCTGGGAATCACAGGTCGCAAGATCCAATATCCAATATCCAATATCCTGATTACGAGCTAGTATAAACCAGTGATTTCTTTGAGCTCGCTTCTTGATTTTAAGGTAGAGGTTCCAGATCTTCGGTGAACTTATGCGTAGTAAATCCCGCCACTCGACTGCTTTAGCTCTGGTAGACTCCAGGAGGAGTGATGCGAGGATTGGTCAAGATTGTGGTTTGTAGTGTGCAGTATGTTAGGACTCAGCTGCTGCCGTGAATGGAGTTTGACCTAACACCCGTCGGTCATTCGGTATAGTCATAAAAGTAGAGTAATAATAATAATAATGATAATGATAATAATAGGTTGTAGTGTAGATAATATAGGTTGAGATAAGTGAAATAATAAAGAAAGAAAGATAGAGTAGTCGGTACAGTGGGAGAAGACAGGACGGGTCGTGAAGATTTAGCTTGTATGCTTATCCATTGACAATGTGGTTTCAAATTTTAAGAGGGTAAGCCATTGAGACACAAACCATGCATTTCTGCATGATTGTCCAGCTTCCGCTTAAAAATCTCCACAGATGGAGCTGTAGTTACGGCCGCCGGTAAAGCGTTCCAGAGACGGCAAACTCGAAGCGAGAAGAAATGTGAACGCACTCGAGTCCTTGGTCTCTGGTGTGCTATCCTTAGCGGGTTACCTCGTGGTAGCCTATAATCACTTAATGGCAGGATGCTCTTGTTAGGATGGGCCTGGTCATTTAGGATCTTATAGACGGTGATGAGGTCTCCCCTGTGACTACGGTAACTAAGTGTGAAAAGACTTAATTTCTTCAGTCTCTCCTCATATGATTTGTTGCGGAGGCCGATCACCCATTTTGTCGCTCGTCTCTGGACACTTTCTAGCATGTTAGCATCCCTTTTGAGTAGCGGAGGAGCAATGATATTATGCACCTCAAGGAGTGGCCTCACGTATGTCGTATACAACGTTAGGAATAGTTCAGGAGTAAGAGCTCCCAGTTGCCTATGCATAAAGTGTAAAGTGCCGTAAGCTTTGGCAACGTCCCTCGTGTAATTTACACTGGTGTCTAGCTTTTCTGTTAAAATAAGGCCTAGATCGCGTTCTGATGGCACACAACTCAAGTTCTGGCCACCAAGGGTGTAATTTGCACTCTGTGACCTGCCGGAATGAAGTTGCACTACTTTGCACTTCTTTAAGTTGAAAGGCATTCCGTTAGCCAGAGCCCAGTCCCCCAGCGTTTGCAGGTCAGCCTGCAATCTGTCGGAGTCTTCCGATGAGTTTATTGCTCTCCAAATCTTTACGTCGTCAGCGTAAAGAAGCGCAGAGCAATTCAGTTGACAGGGCAGGTCATTGATAAAAATCAAAAACATCAACGGCCCTAAGATAGAACCCTGAGGAACCCCTGATGCCGAGGTGTGCCAGGATGATCGGATGCGGTTGACTTTGGTGCAGAATTCTCTCTCGCCTAAATAATCTTCCAGCCATGCGAGAAGTGCTCCAGAAACACCCGCTTTGCTTATTTTGTGAAGGAGCAGACCATGGTGAACTGTGTCGAATGCTTTCGCAAAGTCGAGAAAGATCACATGGACTGGAACCTTTACATCCCAGGATAGTGTCCAATCGTTCCAAGCTAGTAGAAGATTCGTCACACAGGATCTTCCCTTCCTGAAACCATGCTGTGCTTCATGGAGTAGGTTAGTCCCGTCGAAGCATTTTCTCATGTGGTCGTCAATGAGACTTTCGAATATCTTCGATATCACTGGGAGTAGCGCAACTGGTCTGTAACTGGTCGCGTTCTGCCGGTCACCACCCTTGAAGATAGGGGATAGGATGGCTCGTTTCCATTCACATGGAAGTTTCCCTACATCAAAGGAGTGTTGAAACAGATCACTTAGGGGTTGGCAGAGACTTTCTGAACACTGCTTCAGGACGGATGGTCTTATGTCGTCGCAACCTGCAGACTTTCCCGAAGCCAACTTTCCCAATTTTATGAGTACCATAGCCGGGGTAATTTGAAATGTACCCAGCAGGTTTTCGCACGTTGGTCTTGCATTGTAATCTTGATGTTTTGTGAGGGTAAAATCCTCGTTACTGTTCAGTTGCCTGTGAAAGGCTAGACTGAATGTCTCTGCCATTTCAAGACTAGTAAGAGATTTCCCATCAGAACCCACTATATTGCAAGCTCCCTGGTTGGTCGGTTTTCTTTCAGACATAAACCTGTATAGGCTTTTGGGGTTCACGAGAAGCTTATTGGCGAGGTTTCTCTGAAATGTCCTTCTATCACTCCGGACTCGTATGTTACACCGATTCCTGAGTTCGAGGTACTCTTCATGTTCGGGTTGACTCTGCGATACTCGCCACGCAAACCAGGCTTTTCGCTTCGCCTGTAGAAGGCGTTGTGTCCCCCTTTTTAGCCATGAACGTTGCTTTCTAGCTTTAGGTGTGACCAAAGGAACAGTGTCTGAGATCGCCTGGTGAATGATCTCCTTTACCACTCTCCAGTGTTCTTCTACTGTAAGCTCTGTCCAATTTTTTGGCCAATTTGCTTCAGACAAAAGTCTTCGCATTTCGGTGTAATTGGCTTTGTTATAACACAGATAGGGCTGTGTATTGTCCCACTGTAAACGCTCGCGGAGGACTATGTCGAATGTTATGACCGCATGGTCACTACTACCTATGGGAGTCGTGATCTGAACGTTTTCCACTAGTAGCTGGTCACTAGTGAGCACGTAATCCAGTCTAGAAGACTTCCCATCTGGGCCCCATCTAGTATCCATTCTGACATTTTCGGTGAATCCGGCCTCCGTGATGGTATGCAGCAGATTTCGATCAAATCTGTCCTGGGCACATCCCGTCATCAAGTTAAGAGATGGGGCATTGAAGTCTCCAGCTATGACAATTTGATCATAACCCAGGTCATGTGTCGCTGAAATTGCATTCAGCAGTACCTGGTTGTGGTCTGCTCCACATGAAGGTGATCTGTAAATGCTGCCCACTAGATACTTACAGTACCCAACGGTGAAATGGCACCATATGGAGTCAGGGAGCTCAATGAGGGGATGGTCGATTGCATGGACACATCTGAGCTGTTTGTCGACGTATATGGCGACTCCACCTCCTTCTTTCAGATCCCTATCTCGCCTGACAAGGACCATATCATTTATACTGACTTCGCTGTCTGCCACCGTAGGGGTTAGCCAGGTTTCCGTCAGTATTATGATTTTGGAGTTCAGCTGTGATTGTAGGTATCTAAGTTCAGCTATTTTGCCTCTTAGACCTCTCACATTACTGTACAGGCAACTGGTAGTCAGTCTCACCACGTCCCCGTATTGGGGGGTGGTTGACGTGATGTGGGCTGTCGGTTGAGGAGTTATCCTACGAACTAGTTGGCCGATTCCCCGGGAACCGGCCTGTTGGAGTTTTTTTCTTCTGATTCAATCGGAGCACTTGGATGGCACTGGCTATCATCGTCCGTGCTGCACCGCTGTATTGTGACTAGGGGTTGGGGATGTTCTATGACAACGTTTTGCTCTCTCCTTTGGGTACGAGGCCGGCTCTCGCAGCAGCGAATGTGTCTGCTGACCTTGTCTTTGGTCTCGTACCATCTCTGGAGAGCAGTAGTCAAGTGGTCTCGGGAGCTAAACTTAACAGCTAACAGATGTGGGGTGTTAATTGACATTAGGTGAGTGGGTCGAGGCAGTCTAAAAATAGAGACAGCCCCTGAACTTCCCAGACCCATCTGGGATGCCAACCATCTCCATTGCTGGACATCGTGACAGTGCTTCTCACAAGCGTTCCCAGTTTCCAGTTCAGGAATGCCGTGAACAATCATGGAGGCAGAAGGAATAAGCTCTGGCGACTCCCTCGCCATCTGTCTTTCCTTCCATGGCCTATCTGGCCTAACACGTATATTGCAGGTCCTCCCTATAGAAAGGACTTGGGAAGTCAATAAAACTTTTTCGGCATCTTCGGCAGAGCCTAGTGTTACCCTCAGTGGGGATGGTTTGCCTTGAGGAGCAGCAGTGCCCTTATACAATCTGCACAGTTTTACTGGTTGGATGTCCAGACCCAGTGTGCTACATAAGTTGGACCACTGTTCCTGATCAAACAGGGCCCTGTTTTCCAGCAGACTACTGCTACAGTCTGGTACATTAAAGAGGATAACGCAGTTTGATCGACTGACCGTGGATTTAGGTTCGGTCCTCGCACATTTGTCATCCCCCTTAAGACCGTTTTGTTTCATCTGGTGCAACTGGGTATTATTATGTGTCGCAGTGCTGTGGCCACTTTTACTGGTGGACGGTAAGGGTCTTTTCCCGGCGACAGGTACCCTTGGTGCTTCAACCTCTGTGTCTGGGGCGGTTATGGCAGGAATTGCAAGTATAACCGGTGTGGATTTTGGTATCCCCGATTTACATGCAATTGTGCTGTTTTCTGAGTTGGTGGGAGTAAAACGTTTCACGTTTTTTCCTGATATCTCTATGACATCTGTAGCTTTCGAGGAACTACACGAGGCTGCATTAGGACGGCAACTTGGGCAAATGTACCAGAACCATGGGCATGGGTTCTTACGCATAAAATCGTAATATACCTTTGGTACCCCGGTGTCACATCTACAATGTACCCATTGCTTACAAAAGTTACATTCGAAAGCAGAATCTGCTTGTTCGACAATAGAATTGCAGACCTTGCAATCGTCTGCCTTCTTGGGGAACGTTGTAGTCGTCTTGCGACGTCGTGAACGTTTCTTATTGGCCTTCCTGTTTGTTTCAAGGCCTACTGTGGATATAGGTGTCATACTATTCACCTGTTTGCTTAGTTTGGCTGAAGCTCTGGTGACTACGGTGCATGGTCTCCCATTACTTATCTTGGGATGAGAATCTATAGTCATTTCACTCCTAAAATAATACCGATGATTAAATGATAAGAGAGAGTGGAGTTTTGTCCAATAGACTGACAGCAAAAGACAGTAGAAAGCACAGAACGGAAAGATAAAGTATATAAGTAAAAGCTTTTGACTTTACCTGTAACTTTCGGGTTATTCGGCTTCACAACAATCACGTAACAGACCACCAAGTCCTGTATATTTGAAAGAGTGAGGGGGATGTTGCTACAGAAGTAGCACCTGAAGCTTGGGCAGTAGTTCGAGACAGTGGGAAGTACTAAACACAGGCTCGGTGAAGAAGAAATGGTTGAATAAAATTCGCCGGATAGGAAGATCAGGTTTCCCAAACGAATTATTCACAAAAGTGGATATTTCCTGTTAGACGGAAAAATGCACGTCGTATTCAAGGAGCGCGCGCCACGCCAGATTACTCTGATGCTAAATTAACTCTCGCTTATTCGGAAATAACTCTGGCATTTTATGATAAGTAAATTCTGGAATGGTTCTGAAATATTTTGATCGTGCCCATAGATTAGAACTCAGTGTTGGTTTTCAGCATGATCTTCACTATTTCAGCACCCTATGCTTTTTCTAGGCATTTTCAGAAATGGATCAAAACCCACTGGGTTTTCTAATCAGCATTGTTTCAGCCCTACAAAGCCAGACTCAGCACTTACCAAGATTACTTCAGAACGAAGAGACTTTGTTCAGAGCAAAGGGGCAATTTTTCAGCTTCATTTCGACACAAAAGGCACCATCTTAGCTGTGAATCCTAATTTTAAGGTTTCGTAGTATTTATTAGGCATCCAGTTCTCTTTTTAAGAATGACCAGCGTTATTTCAGCACACAGTGGCTTCATTTTGGGTAGGTAAAATATTCATTCACCATAAAAAGGCATTTACATAGGTTAGAATTAGTTAGGAATTATTGTATACTTGGGGTGAAGTGAATTTCGTCGGTGGCACAGTGGTTAGGACTTCAGCCGACCATGCACATGGTCCGGGGTTCGATCCCCTGCCGACGCACACCAGATATCTATGGTCGGCCTGCAAAATTTGGGCTGCCGATATCACATGCTGAAAATTCCATACTTCTATCAAAAATACGTGTGGAATCAAGCTGTAATCAAAAATAAAATGAATGAAAAAAACTGCGAAACTGGTTGGGCACGAAGAAATATTTGTAACGAATATAAGAGCCATGGCGTCGATATGGCCAGTCGCTTCACTTTACAACAATATAGTACCCTACAGAAAACAACAACAGTTATGATAATAGCCAACTTATAAATAAAATAGCTGTGGTGAAGTGATACTGGCTCTTGATGTTGTTGTGTTCTCTGAGCTCGATAGTTAATTTGCGAAGCTTTCATCACCCTACTGGGTGACATCTTCAGCGCACACTTCAATTTGAAGTGATACTGGCTCTTTTGGTAACAATTGAAATAGAGTCGGATATGTACAAAGACGAATTAAATTTATTGATGGAAACGGCCTGTATTACCTAGTCCGCCTTTAAGGTCTGCTAGTGTTCGGGTCTCAAGATATTTTCTTCTAGCAGTCACGAACGATGACAGTGCATTGCCATCTTGTAAAACTGACTGGGAGGAACAATAATCGCTCTTACAACCTTGGGCATTCTCTGTGTCATTAGCATGGTATACGTCTGTGACTCACTTTTCAATTGGTTTTCATTTTAACATGATCACAGCAAAGTCCTCACAACTAACCACGCGTCCTGGAATAAACAGAACTCTAAAAATGACTACTTTAGCAGTTATAATCTTTTCGTTCAGACGAAATGACTTGTTTATATGTTCCGCTGATAGCGCGAATCCTAAGACTCGCTAAATGCAAGCACTGAGATCTAAGAATACCAGTAACGTAAGCCGAAGCCAATGGGATAATTTTCAGTCTCAAGAAACCAAGATTGTAGGGTTGCGACAGTTTGCCGAATTACCGCATATTGTCTGGTGTTTAAGAAGGTGCTAGCATAGACATGGCAATTGAATGCTCGAAGCTTGTATATAGTGAAGCACTTCAGTCCATTTAATTATGAATTCCAAGGTAATAAATTTGGATAATCTCTTCGTCCTGGCTTGGCTTTCCTTTTGGCACGATTTTGAGTGCAGCTCCTGTGTAGACCAAGAAGTCTGCAGCAGATCTTTAATCTTTGACGTAGAATAGGTGACTGTCTAGGGAACTCTTCTTTGTAGCCGATAGCTGTCAAGGCGTTAATTTTTTCCTGGTTGTTTGTGAAGTATTTGAGGTCAGGAGCATGCTAACATACATTTTTTGATTGTGAGCCAAACCGCCAGTGGCAGAAACCTAAATATCTTTGTGGTCTGGTTTGTCTGGGTTAGCTCTTTGACCTAGCACGTGCTCAATAGGCAACCATGATTTCTGTAAGTCGCCTTCTCTACAACATTAAACCTGCGACGCTTATCAACTGTTCAAGAGAAGAGTAAGGATCTTATGCGTCCTATCTCTGTAGCGCACACTGCTGAATGGCTTCTATCCAACTCTGCTTCACTGGATCCTATCCCACCTTGCTGTCCCGTAGAAGCTGTCACATGTGACGCGAGAACTGTGATAGTGAGCTGTCTCCCGAATTTTCCCCTTGAAGCGAGCGTTAAATACACTGACTTTTGGAAACGCAGAGGTTTTTTATCCCTATGTATTTAGGTGCTGTGTACAGTAGCTCGGTTGCATAGTGAAGTATAAGTTCTCACATCTCTTTTCTAATCTGAATAAGTAAGTGAGAACACATGTTCATAGATCTGAAGTTGCCAGAATTGAAGTTACACCGGTAAAAGTAGCGCTATAGATGAGAGGACCATAGTTCCAGACCGTGTCAACAGAATTCAGACAATCTAACTTCAGTAGTTACTTGACAACTTACCTCCGCAGAAGTAGAGTTCGTAAAATCATATTCATTGGTAAGTAAATTAATTGTATACTTGAGGAGTTGCTTAGAAAACCGTTGGAAAACAAGAGATTGCTAGATGGCTCTGACGCCCAAATTCAAGACTTACCAGCGGTACTCACCCGTTGAGGTTCGAACCCAGGATATTCCGGTTGCAAACCAAGCTCGTAGAACATTCATCCACTGGGACATTTATTTTTATTTTTTCACTTTGATTATGGCTTGATTCCAAACCGTATTTTGGTACAAGTATGGAATTTTCAGCATGTGATATCGGTAGCCTAAATTGTGGAGGCCGAACACTGAAATCAAGTCTGTGCCGGCAGGGGATCAAATTTCGAACCATGTGCATGATCGGCAAGAGTCCTAACCACTCTGTCACCGACGCATATACATACCATGAATTGGTATCAGTTAGATTGTTTCCCAGTGGATGGGTGGTCTTTGAACTTGGCTTGCGGCCGCAAGATCCTAGCTTCAAATCTCACTGAGTGCATACTAGTGAAGAGTCATAAACTAGGATGAACCAACTGTCCTGTTCTCCTGGGCTTCCAGTAGTTCTTCAAATGATGTCAGTTCATTGTCACACTGGAAACCAACCAAATACCTGCAAGCCAACAGGTGAAAATTAGGAAACTATGCTGAATTGAAAACGGAATATATAAAACCATTGTCACAAACCTCTGAAATTCACTTTGAAACTACTTCTGGGACATGATCAACCCCAATACTAGGTTTAGGATTCTTTGACCTCACGGAATCTAGGATGTTTCTAGACTGGTCCACCTCTGTATATGGGTGTATACACTTTTCTTAAGTTATGAAGGTCTTTAAATATAAAGTTACTGACTGCTTCTTCTGTTCAATCTTCGGCGTTTTGAACTGTCGAAGCAACACATCCGCTAAAGCAGTTTGCAGCAGCCTGAAGGTCACCACGAGATCTATCCCAAAATTATAAGCCTACAGTCTTCATCATCCAGCTCGGCTGATTAGAATTAACGTATGAATTCGTGCATCCACTCCACTCAGAAAGTTGTAATGCTAAGTCGGGCTGTTCGTGCACTTGCCCTAGCCAGTTAAGCAGTTGTGAGAAACCATTCAGCCACTCTGTTTTAACAACTTTGAGCTGGTTTCCAATCGACTCCAGCTAGAAATAACGCTTACGATTGTTGTGTGGCCAACTGTCTTGCTGGATCTTAGCTTTGGCCACATTACCTGCTGACTGTTTAGCCTGGCCCACCTAATATGACGATGAAACGGCTGAGGTTCAGTTGACTTGGCAGACTTCTTGATCCCCTACATATTCATAACCACTCTGTCTTCAGATAATTCCACGGTGAAAAATTCTTTCCAAATATTCTAAAAACTGAGTTGACTAATGCAAATATTCAGACCTGGTCATCTGTGATTATTATTATTATTGTATCTTTTAATTCCTACAGGAACATAGGGCTTCAGCCGTGCGTCTCCATTGCGTTCGGTTCTCTGCTAGAGTCTTCACCTGGCTCCATGTCTGCCCACACGTTTTCATCTCCTCTTCACATGACCTCCTCCAAGTCACCCTTGCACTGACGACCAACTCGCCGCTTCCCTTTCGGGTTCCACTCGAGCGATGGCTTGTCTAGTGATGTCACTTGATGGTTTCCTCAGAGTATGGCCAATCCATCTCCATTTCTTCCTGCCTATTTGTTTCACAATTGGTTCCTGGTTGGTTCGCTCCCAGAGATCCCTGTTGCTGATCTTTTCTGGCCGGCCATCTGATCTTGAGTATTGAGCGAAGACAACTGTTAATGAAGGTCTGTAGTTTGTTTGAGATGCTCTTTATGACGCGCAGTGCAAGTCTCTGATCCGTATAGTGAGTAGCACTGACTTCACATTGGAGTTGAAAATCCGGATCTTATTTTTGATGCTGAGTGTTGTTGACCTCCACACAGACTTGAGAGTAGTGAAAGCTTGTCTTGCTTTTCCGATTCTTGCTTTGATATCCTCGTCAGTTCCGCCTGTAGTTGAAACGATGCTTCCAAGGTAGGTAGGTAAAAGAGGTTGTTTCTTTCAGGTTCCTCCCATTTATGCTGATTGTTGTCTGTTGTTGTTGCTGTTGGTGGTGTTGGCCAGGAATCTTCATCACCTCTGTTTTATCTATGTTCACCTGAAGTCCTATCTTCTCTGGATGCTTCTTCTGCCAACTTGTTGCTTTTCGCTTGCATATCTTCCAGTTTGTGGGAAATCAGACATATATCATCGGCGAAGTCCAGATCCTCCAAGTTTTTTGTGTGAGTCCATTTTATGCCTGTTTCCTCATTGCCCGCTGTTTGTCGCATTATCCAGTCTACTGCAATCAGGAAAATCATTGGCGATAGTAGGCAGCCAGCTTGTCTTACTCCTGTCCTCACTTCGAAGGATTCCGTAAGTTTCCCGTTGTGGATTACTTGGCATGCAGCATTGTCGTACAGCTGTTGGATGAGATGTATAATTGTCGGTGGCACCCCGTAG